ATGACTAGCAGCTCAAACTTGAAATACCTTAAAAAAGTACCCAAGACCTACCCTATAACCAAAAACCAGTAAGTCACTAACCTAATCTTGAAATCTCTACTGGCCTAAGAAAATGCACTTCTTTTTCATTTGCAAAAATTACTATTATCTTGAAAAGGTATTATAGTATTTCTGCAACCTGAAGGAGATAATATATTGAACCTCCTAAAGCCATCATCAAATAGGCAGATAAATAGAGAAATGAATTAAACCTATGATGTTTATATATTAGGGTAAGTTTAAGTAGAAATGAAATAATTTTCTAGGTACTATGTTTGTATATGTTCTGTGTTCTAGTCCTATTTAAGGTGTTTGAGGCATTCCAAAGAATCCAAATTTTAAGTTGTAATAGAAGTATCAATTAAGTTATGTTATTTTATGGTCAATACTTAACTATTTAAAAAGTTTGCTTCAAAGCTTTATTAGCTACATCAGTTTAATTAATTTAATGCTAAAGTGTAAATAGTAGGGACACCTAGGTGGCACAGTTGTTAAGCATCTGGCTTCGGCTCAGGTCATGATCCCAGGGTCCTGGGATCGAGCCCCGCATCGGGCTCCCTGCTCCGCAGGAGGCCTGCCTTTCCCTCTCCCACTCTCCTTGCTTGTGTTCCCTCACTGTGTCTCTCTCTGTCAAATAAATAAATAAAATCTTTAAAAAAAAGTGTAAATAGTAGTATGTATTTCTTGCCACACCCACAAGCACCTCATATATGAAATAATCTATTTCAGGAATATTAACACCTGTTTCAATGAATTATTTCAATAAGGAATGAGATACATGTATTTGGTCCTCTCTAAAGAGCTAAATTAAAGAATAGAAGACTGACCTCTCTATGGATAATTTCATCATCAGTGTATGTCTATATAATAGATGTGATCCAGGTGGTAAATCTATATATACTTGCCCACCCAAGAGGCTGAATAGTGGTTGCTTCTGGAAGCAGGGATGGTGACTGACTGGGAAGGAGGGATAAGAGAATTTTGCATGTGATGGAAATGTTTCATGTCCTGATAGGAGTGTGGGTTACACAGGTGCATGCATTTTCAAAACCCATCAAATCGTGCACTTAAGATTATGCATTTGTTTTATGTCAGTGGGAAAAAACGAAAAACAAATACTAAACTCTATATGGTGAGTTTGCTTTACCGTGGTAGGGTTACCAATTCTCAGACTGCTTGTTTTGTAGATCCATACATATTTTGTGGATTGTAGGAACAGGTTTCTCATTATTGGAGATAAGTGTTGCAAATAGGGAAGGAGAAAAGACTAGAACGTACCCTGTGGCAATCTATTTTAATTGGAGTTGTCATTTTGAGTTCATATTTGTAGGGATGGAGCTATATCTATTGAGAGGGTCTAGGAGTAGGACATATCAGCAACAGCAAGGAGCACACAAGATCGTGTTTTTTATGTAGAAGAAACTAAAATTAGCTAAATGGAGTTGGGGTCTCCTATAAAAAGCTTGATTTGAGGACTAGGGTGGACAAAGCAGAAGATGAACCTGGAACATCTTATTTTGCAGAAAGTAAAGAAGTTCTCAAAGAATGGAGATATATCAAGACCAACAAGGGGGCAAGCTTAAAGGGTTTCACCAAATAGGAGGACTTTCTATAAAATAATTTGCTGTATTTAAAAATATCAAAGACAAGAAAGACAGAAAGAGACAGCCTATTCCAGATTAAAGAGGATGAAAGAGGTGTAGTAACTAAATACAGTGCATTATCCTGAATTGGTTCTTGGGCAACACACATACAAACAAACCAAAGAGGTTATAAAGGGCATATTTAAGACAATTGATGAAAATGAATACATATTATAGATTAGATAATTGTATTGCATTAATGTTAAATACCCACGATTTCCTGTGATGATGTAGGAAAACATCCTTGTTCTTAGTAAAAATACAGGGTAAAGGGCACAATGTCTAATCCCACTATCAGGTGATTCAGAAAATAAGTATTTTTCCAGATTGGAGAGAATGAAAGAATCATAAGGTTTTCATAGCATAAAATGCAAACCCTTGGTGAAACTCAGTGAAGGTATACAAGAGTTCTCTGTACTATTATTTGCAATTTGTGTGCATGTTCGAAATTGTAGCAATATAAAAAGTTTAGAAAATAAATATGCTGAACGTCTCCTGGGCAAGAATTAAACTCTTCTTTCACGGACCTTTCCTGCACAGGAACAGCAGTACAATAAAAATTTTATTGTACGTTTATGTGATTCCCAGTATGCAAAAGTATTGCATCATTTTACTTTTGTCCTGGTAATCACTCTAGGAGATAGATCTCCTTATGAACACCCTGTGGGGGAGGATATTGAAACAGAGACACCAAGTCACATGAGGTCAATAGCATAAGCAGGTTCAAAATTCTATCCTCTGGTTTTAAGTCAACCTTGCCTTTAAGCCACGTAAAGTTGGTCCATACTGTCCAAATCTCTCTTTTAATGTTCAAAAAGAAGACAAATCAGTGACAGAGAAAAAAGAACAGGCAGAGGGAAATTTAATGACATCCATATGGCTGAGGGATGGGAACAGGAGTGTGGACAGTAGAAAGAGTTGTCCGATTAAACCATTTAGCCACCTGCAGGTTAAAACACCCGAACCAGATATACATTTCTTGGGAAAGAAGAAATAATACCACTGAGTGGCTAAGGAGAGCAAAATGCAAGGTTGGTGGGGATGAGTTTGAATTCATCACAATTCTATTCTATTACAGCTTACACTTGTGTTTGCTTGTGTTCAGATTGAAACTGTGTGAAAGCACATTTTATGTCTTATATGACTGAACACGTGCATATTAGGCGAAACTGGTTTTCTATTTCCTTTGGATATTTGTGGCTTAAAAAGATAGGATATTGGTAGCATTGACCTACAATAAGTACATTTGTAAGGTAGATAAATGAAAGATGTCACTAATAATACTGCAAGCCTGGCTGACATTTAGAAAGCACATGTTCTGCAAGAACATCAAATGGACTAATTTACCAAATCCAAGGTTAATACAGGAGGTCACTAACTTACTAAGACCTACCTTTGTGCAATAGAAAACAATGAATCTGTAGCTAAAGGTACTTTACTTGGAAATTAGGGTTTAGGTTACCCACCTGTGGCATACCAAAGCATAGAGCATGAATAGGTGGAAGTTAAAGTCATGTTTAGCAGGGGATGGGAAAATTGACTGCGATAGACACTGTTGTGGTGTGGCTGAAAACAGATTCAAGTGTAATTATCAAGAGGCAGAAAAGTCACCAAGGGGCAGTTTATGTATGAGAGAGGCTGTAGTTTACTCATCCAGATAGAGGGTATGATGCATGGAATCAGAGAGCTTTGGGTGTAGATGGGAAGTACCTTGGGTAGTCCTTGTGGAGTCCAGGTGATTAGTCAAGCTGGGACCTGGCTATGGGTCCTCATTTCAGATTCTTCGGGTTCTGACTTCAGGTCTGCCCTCACTCTGGCCCGATGGGATCAACCCTTTAATGCTCATTCCCTCTGCCCCTCACCCCCATCTCCCAAACAACTATCATAACCTTTTGCATCTAACAATTTGTCTCCATCCATCCAAGAACTTGCAATGTCTGTGTTGGTAGGGAGTTAATTTTTTGATCTGATAAACTGCAGATATGTCTTCCATTCCTGAGCACATATAGTTCTTTCCTCAGAGATTCTGGATGCTGGCCACAGAGAGGCTCATTCTAATCCTCACAGCCCAGGTCATTCTCTGGAGGCTTCTTAGGACAAGAAACTGCCCTAGGTCAGGGTTTATGAATCTTCTATGAGGAAGCTACCTTTTTTCCTGGCCTAATTCAGAAGTGTTAGAATGGGATTGCCTAGAAAGGTGACTTCTCTCATGCAAAAGTAGAAAATCAACATGTTCTTGGGCCCAAGAATATTTATTTTCTCCTCCTTTTCTCCCTGTCCCCTGCCCGCTCTATTTTCCCCTGTGGCACGGCTTTGGGCATGTCTGCTTCTAGAGGGAGAAGATAGATCCTAGAATTCAACATATATTATGTAATGAAAAAAGAGTCAGATATGGTTTGATATTACTTCTAAGATTTAGGTATGGGTAGCATCAAAAGAGATCTGACTTGAGAAGGACACATTTTTATCCCAAGTCCTTACACATGAACTTTTAGAGCACAGTTTATTTGTAACTTGAGGGCTATTTATTTATTTTTTAAAAAAGATTTTACTTATTTAGTTGACAGAGAGAGAGAGAGAGAACACAAGCAGGGGAGCAGCAAAGAGAGAGGGAGAAGCAGGCTCCCTACTAAGCAGGGAGCCCGACATGGGGCTCGATCCCAGGACCCTGGGATCATGATCTGAGCCAAAGGCAGACGCTTAACCCATTGAGCCACCCAGGCACACTTGAGGGCTATTTAAACATGCTCTTTTTTGATACGGACAATTTCTTTCTTTCTTTTTTTTTTTTAAAGATTTTATTTATTTGACAGAGCACAAGGAGAGGGAGAGAGAGGGAGAAGCAGGCTCCCTGCTGAGCAAGGAGCCCGATGTGGGACTTGATCCCAGGAGTCTGGGATCATGACCCGGGCCGAAGGCAGCCGCCCAACCGACTGAGCCATCCAGGCGTCCCTTGATACGGACAATTTCTGACATGAAATATTGGCCTAACTGGATGATAACCAGTGCAACTTATACATTAAATATGAATTTTACACCTTTAAAAATGCTTACCTTGTGTAGGCAAGAATTTCAATTTTTTTGTGTATGTAGGAAATACAACACTTGATGCAAGTATCTAATGAGGAATGATTTCTCATTTAACCTTCTCAATTTTTAGATATGATTTTAGTGGGAAAATGATTGGTACTCTATAATGTCATACAAAGCAGGAACATTTCCCCGACGGGATGATTTTGTGAGGTGGCACGAAACGGGACAGACAGTGTCTGCTGTCGTCCTGTCACTTGAGAGGGGACACTGTGACGTCACACTCACCCATACACACAGTGTGCCGCAGACACCAGCCAGTCATTGCTGACGAGAGAAGCACCGCAGAGCAGTTGGCCGTTATAATAAAGAGCAACCACCCAGGGCCAGGCTCCTTCTTTGGCATTATTTCCTCCGACAATCTTCGGGCTGACTTCTTGGGCCACCAGTTTGTTTCCACATGCTGTTAAAATAATTGAAGAAAGAGCATCTATTTTATTTTGGTGGATTTCTTCTGATCATGAAAACTGAGTGGATCACTACAGAGTAACTTCAGGTGCTATGCCCACTCTCTTCAGAATTTTAAAGGGAAGGTTTGAAGGAAAGAAAACATAACAAAATGTTGACTTACACTTATGGTTACACTGTAACAGAATCAGTGAATCTTGGAAACACTGTTTACTGTAATAGAAGAACAATTATATTTCAGAAATTGTGCACCTGACATCTTAAAACAGGACATAGTGTATTTTAACATATTTTTTTTTTAGTAGAATTAACCTTCAAATGTAAGTATCATATATGAAACATGGGGAGGCTGACAGGCACAGCAGGAAAATCCTCCTGAGGTTAAACTTCAAATTGAACTGAGTTTGAGCCCTTAACTCTACCACTTACATTTCATGGGATTTTGGATAAGTTGCTCCGTGTCCCTGAGATTCAGTTTTGTCATCCACAAAATGTGGGCAGTAGTACTTTACTGGAATTTTGTGAGAAGTAAAAGAAACGTTTGCACTGGAGTTATTATTGTGCCATATGCACAATGAACATTCAGTAAATGATAGTTATATTTAGCTTGCTTGAACCAACCTTGGATGTAATCATTGTATAATACAGAATATGTCTCAGTATGGCTAATCAGACAACTATTCAGTGCCCTGCACTGCGCGTGAGGCTGCGTACTCCACTCAGAAAATTCAACGATTAATCACAGGCCCTGTTTTCAAGGGAAATAAATATGTAAACAAGAAAATATAAAGTGTAGGCATACATAATTTAAAAACTCACTACCTGTTTAAATATTTGGATACCAACTTTTTTTCAAAGCTGAGAATTCTATTTCAAACACATATTTAAACAAAGGAAAACAGTTTAAAAATGTGTTATACTTCCTGACCACTAGAGATCAGTATAATACAAGGAATTAAAGTACTTGCCCACACTCTCCTGATGTGGCCACAGTGGATACTGGTCATGGTGAAACAAACACATACACACACGTAATTGTAATGATTTCTATTTATAAATTTAACTGCATCTGTTGTGCATATTATTTAGGTGTTTGAAATTTTAGGGAAAAACAAAACAAAAAACACAAAGCAAGACGCCAAATCCATATGAGATCAAGTACAATCAAAGCAATTCAGTGTTTCTGGAACATACATGATAAATTTATTTGAAATCATATGCATTCATATTGCCCAATTGACATATCCTTTAGCATAGAAGGTAATTTCAATTGAAATATAAGAAAATATACTTACGTTTTATTAATAAGCAATGTGCATGCATGTGTATCCACCTAAATATGGGTGTATCAATATATATATATATTCATAATTCCCTAAAGAAGAAGCCTCAATAAACTCCCCTTCTGTTTATACTCACAGTTGGGAGAGAAGTAGTTTCTAGGATGCTTTCCAGCATACTTTCAAGTTCATCCAAACTCTTTCTATATCTATAGTACTCATCAGTGAAAATCCATATTCAAAACGGCTCAGCATTCTTAGATATTAAATGATGCCTAATATTCTGTGGTACGTACAAAACTGATGAAATTGTTTTTAGCAAGCACAGAAAAGTTTAATAAGCTTTTAAAATAAAAGTAACTATTAAATTAACCAGAAAATGGAACTGAACTTTGCCTTTTCCATTCTCCATGCATTTCAGTTAGTCAAACTTTTCATGCACAAACACACATGCATTGTCTCAGTGTAGAGGAATAAATTGCTTAGTCTCTGGTCAGAATGAGCAGTGAAACCACACTTGGTCCATGTATATTTAGAGAGATTGGAGGGAAATAGAATTACGGTCCTGGAATCAGAGTTAACTTAGCCCTCTGGACATGAAGAAAGACAATGCCACAGATGATCCTGTGTCTTTCTCTCAGCCCCGTGGGGCACTATTGTGATATAAATGGATGGGTCTATGTCAATTGTACTGACAAAACGAACTAATTTCTCTCCCAATATATGCCCAACAACATGGCCTTTTTTTGTTGTTGAAAAGGCTATGCTTTGGGGCGCCTGGGTGGCTCAGTTGGTTAAGCGACTGCCTTCGGCTCAGGTCATGATCTTGGAGTCCCGGGATCGGGTCCCGCATCGGGCTCCCGGCTCCGCAGGGAGCCTGCTTCTCCCTCTGACCCTCTCCTCTCTCATGCTGTTTCTCGCTCGCTCGCTCTCTAATAAATAAATAAATAAAATCTTTAAAAAAAAAAAAAAAAGAAAAGGCTATGCTTTTTCTTTCTTTCTCCTTTCCAGAACTGCTATTTAGAGTGAGCTGTTGCCTTGGGGAATTTAGAAGATTGCATGGTAGAGTGGAAAAGCAGAGGGATGTGGGGTTGCCCAGGCTTTGAAGACTTGTCCCAGTCACTTATGAACACCACGCTTCTGCTTCTGTTCCCTCGGCCTTAGAGTAGAGCAAGACTCCCTAAGTCATAGACCTCTTTGGAGTAACATAAGCATACAGACAATAGGGACATCCGTGATACTGGCATTTTGTTGATAAGCATGGAATAACCGACTTCCGCTCTGAAACACGCTCATAACTGAGATGAATTTTAAAAAATATTCTTCCTTTGTTCTTTTTCTTATTCTTAAATGTCTACAAGATACAAATAAAAGAAACTTTCAGAGTGCAAACTGCTCAAGATCTATAATGCTAATGTAAATTTAGACATGCTTATAGAAGGAAATCTAGAAATCTGCTCTCTCACTTGAAAATGCTTTGCTTCACCCTCTATGAGACTAATGGTATCGGTCAAGGCCCAGCAAACATTCATATGAAACATTCAATTGCAAAGTCCTTCGCACTAAAAATACTCCTTTATCAATTTGTCTTACTGGTTGAGCTCACAGATATGATAACTTTTCATGAATAGTTGAATAATTACATAATTTCATTTTTCACCATTAAGTATGTTATTCAAGAAACTGCAAGCGAATGCACCAGCAATGACATCTTAAATCTTTGTCAGTAGTTACGGCTTCTTCTTGAAGTTACTGTCTTCCCCCCCACAGCTGCCCCTTAATGGAACTGTAAAATTCAAAAGCCCATTTCAACAAAAAATATCATTAATGCCCAAATAGGAGAAATGACATAATGTAAGCTAAAACAGATCTTTGAATACAGGAAGAATGTTTCTTTTTAAACATTAGTAAACGCTATAAAAATTAACCTAATTTTAAAGAGCAAAAGAGAATATTTAGGCACAGCCAGAAGTCTGGTCTCCTTTACTTAATGTTCATGTTCTCTTTGCTAAATACTGTGACTTTCCCTCCTCTTTCTTCTCTTCTGTTGACAGCTAATTTGAGTCGCCCTCTATAGTCAGACCAACAGTGGACTTACTTATCCCGACTCTCACAGTTCTTTTCTTTGGGGGTTTACTTGTTTATGAATCTGAAGGTAAGGATAGAAAGGACATAGAAGTAAAATTTACTGGATTTCTATCAGTGTGCTGCATAATTATTTATGCAATATTTCATTTGACTGTCTTACCATATACATAAGGGTTAGGCAATGTTATTGGATAGGATCAATTAGGTACTATTTGAGATTACCTGAATAATAATAAAAAATAAATAACTTTCAAGGTTATATGGCTAGTATGTGGTGGCATTAAAACCTGGCAAGTTTCAAAATCCATCATCTTTCCAGCCCATGTACAATTAGTCCAAGAACAGATTTTGGGACTCACCTGGGTGTTAGTATTAAGCTGCCATTAGGTGCTGTGTTTAATTTTACAAATAGTCCACTTCCAGGAGAGAAGATTGCCATTGATGAGTTTCCACTCCTAGGGAAAGACACATAGAGACAAAACAAAAACACAAACAAAGACCCCAGACCTAAATTTCTAGTTATTTAATGCTGTGGACATTGAAATAAATTATGGAATTCCATACAAAACGACTAACATTTTAATATAAAACTTCAAAAGTTTTGCTATCTAAAAGATGGTACAAATCAGTAGAATTGTCCATAATGACATAAAATATAATTTTAATTTTTGTGTAATGTCTCTGGTTGTTTGCATGCTCATATATTACTTAACAAAGTTAAAATCAGTGCATATATTACTTGGGTATCTGATTTTTTCATTTGACTCTTCTATGTTATTTAATAATTTCCATAATGATCAATTTTAATGACAACATCACAGAATTGCTGCACCGTAATTTATTAAACCTTTTTCCTGTCGAGTGTAATCCGTCTTTTAAAAAATGCATGTAGCCTAAGAACAACCTAGAAAAAGAATATCTTCAATGTTTGCTTTTCCAAATGTTTCTTTGTTCTTGATATTTCATTCAATTCAAAGTCTAACAAGCCCTAAGGTAAAGCCAGAAGCTATGTGATTACTCTAAAAAGACAATGTGTAGCCTGGACCTTCAAGTGTCCACTCATGGGCCAGGGTGGGATAGAGAAACAGACACTCTCCATGTGACAAAAGACATTAAGTTACTAATCTTTCTTACCCCTGAAAACATGTTACACCCATGCTCTCAACTGTGAACCGTAATTAAAGATTTCTCTCCGTTATCCTGACTCTCTTCCCTAGGCTTAGCTGGAAGCTTTTAGGGTCGCAGTTCCTAATCTTGTTTCCTGCCTTGCATTTATTCCAGATTTTAATCCTTGTATAAAACCTTGCTTTTAGGTTGGAAACATCCTGACTGCTGCAAACTTCTGGTTAACAGAGAGATGATACAGTTTTTATCTTTTGGAATAACGCGAAGGATCCACCCATTGCCTCTTCAAAAGAAGATCCACTGTCTTCCCCAGGCTGTAGCCAACACTGACCCTTTTCTATCTGTGTATAGGGAACTTCCAAGGAACACTTATAGCTGTTATGATCAATAAGAAGAAAAGAAGTAGGTTGAGAGTATTTCCTGTCTCTTTCAGATGGGACAATATCTTAAAAAAACTGAAAGTGTTTGTCTGGTACCTTTCATCCACTGAACAGAGAACTGGAACAATGGAGCTTATATGTAATGTCCCAGAATTCAGCATCTTGCACTTTAATTTTATAAACAGATAAAAGTATCTAGCACACAAATCAATGACTATTCATGTAATAACACCTGAAATGAATGAATTTCCCAAAGGGAGAATGAGTGCTGTTACTGTTATTTTTAAAGATTAAGGCATTCCCTCCAAGTAAGCAGAAGCTTAAATAAGATGATCTTATTTAAATATTTATCTAAAATATATTTGTTATAGTTAAGAAAACAAAATAGGCATAAAGACCTCAAAAAGCAGCGGAGGGTAAAGAAGCCAGGAATGCTCTGGGTCAGGGCAACTCTCTGGGGCCCCCTCCATCCCCCCCAGGAGCTTTATATTACTGCTCAGTAGACTTTGCTTTGCTTCCTACCACCACTCTTGGTCTGGTCTACCTCTCCATTCTTGGAAGTGGTGTGACCAAGAACGGCGGGCACTAAAGGCAGAAAATTCCTGCAACAACATTCTCAGTACCATTATTCTGCTGAATTCCTACATGTGTTGAACATTCTTCTAGGTAGTTTTCTATGTTCCTGACTCTCCATGACCAAGGATTTCCAAAGTATGTTCTCCAGGCAAGGAGCAGGAACCTCTGGAGAATGCATTAGAAACGCAACTTGCCTAGCCCCTCTCCAGACCCACGGCAGCCAGCCGAAAACTCTGGGGGCGGGGTCCAGCCATCTGTCTGCTAACATAGCCTCCGGGTGATTTTGATACTTGCGAGTCAGGGAACCCCTGTCAAAGCCAAATATAGTATCTATTTTTTACTCGTTCAGGGGTCTGCTTTTTGGCTTCCAAAATGACTTCTAGTTACTTGATAGGCAATTTGTTTTAAGGCACTGATAAAGTTAATTCAAATCTTAAAAAATATATTTATATATCACAGAGATGTGGATTTAACACTTTTCCATTATCTCTACCTGTTTTATATTCTATCCCTTGACTCTCTCTCTCTCTCTTTTTTTGTTAGATTTTATTTATTTGAGAGAGAGAGAGAGCATTTGCCGCACAGGTGGGGGGAGGGGCAGAGGGTGAGGGAGAAGCAGACTCCCCACTAGGCAGGGTGCCTGATGCAGGGCTCAATTCCAGAACCTGGGGATCATGACCTGAGCTGAAGGCAGAGGCTTAACTGACTAAGCCACCCAGATTCCCCTCTTTTATTTTTTATTTTTATTTTTTTTTTTAAGTAAGCTCTACACCTAACTCATGACCCAGAGATCAAGAGTTGCATGCTCTCTTGACTGAGCCAGCCAGGCACTCCGACTAGCTCTTTTAATACAGATCCTGAGAAGATGCAGTACTATCTTTGGAAATTCAAAACAAAATTTGGACAAAATTAAATTGAAAAAATATTGAAATGTTATTTATAAATATGTTTTTTAAATCTAGAATCTATTTATTTACACACTTACCACTGGCATACTATGATGGGATTGGCAGGAAAATTTTTTTTTTTTTT